CCGCCCCTGGTGCCTGGGGCTCGGCTCCGCGCTCAGGCGTCGAGGGGGGGCTCGGCGTCCCGGCCCTGTCACCACAGGGGCCCAGGCCAGCCTGCTGCCTGCGCTCACACACCACCTGGGCCTCAGGAGCAGTTTTAGGCCAAGGAGACCACTGTTGCAGCTACCCCGGGTCTGGGAAATACCTTCAGGACCGGTTCAGCCCACCTGAAACTGAGGGCTGGATCAAGGCCATGGGTCGGTGTGCCATGCGAATGTCTTCTTTGTGCTGAAGGGATGCTGCTGGCAAGAAGCAGTCACACCTGGGCACAGTGGTGATCCCTCTGCTGCTGAGGTTTTTCGCCCCAAGCACTTCAACACGCTGATGGCTCCCTGCCATCCAAAGGCATCCACTGCTGTTGCCCTTGGTGAGACGCGTAACGTGGTGTTCATGTGTTCAGTGCAGCTGAGTCTGGAGTTATGTGGACCATGAGAAGCTGAGGTCATTTCATGAGTGACACATTTTCTGCCCTTCTGTTGACCACAAACAATTTGAATTCATGATCTAATGCATTGTGACAAAAAATCAGAAGGTACATACTTATTTTAAAACTGTAGCCTATAGGAAATGCATTTTTTATAGGATCCATCCAAATGGCATTTGATATTCAAATCTTTTTCCTTCCCCAAATGGTATGTCTTAATTGTGAGATCTGAAAGCTGACAGTGTAGCCCTTATTTCCATTGTCTTCTTCAGATATCAAGCCAGCCTGCTGTGTCATTTGTGCACTTCGGAGTCAGCAAGGGATGCCTTCCTTCTCTGGACAAAGAAGAAATGTATATACCAGAGGATACTTCTTCCAGACTCATCTTGAATGTTATGAATAGCGTGGAGGGAACCCTATATCTGATAGGATATGCTAACCTTCTTGAAACTATCTAACACAAGTGTTAGTAGAAACCCTGAACAGAGTAGTAAAGCGTGAACAGTAAAAGCAACTTGTAACTCAGTTCTTTCTGGAATCCTCCCTTACTACATCCAGAGAATGTCTCGCAATTTCTACTCTGCAGGTCTTCTGGCCACTTCTCGTGCTTCCACACTCAGAGTGTAACAGCCATGAGAGACCTTTGCTTCTCCAAAACACTTACTTGATATCCCATTCATCCAGCCTGCATCTAGCCCATTGGCCTGTCTCCTGTTCTGCTAAATCCCCAGCCATTCCTTTGCTACCAGTCTACAGCTTCTTCTCTTTTTTTCTTCCTTTTTTCCCCCCCTTCTTTTCCTTTCTCTCCTGCTCTGAATGTCAGTCACTCTTTCAGCCTGTAAACCATCCTATACTATACAGCTTTTCTATCTAGGGCAGAGGCAGTTTGTGTCTAGCAATTTAAAATGTTTAAATATTGGAAATACATGTGACAGTTATGGTTGAAACATTTCATACATTAAGCAAATGACCTACATTTGTCCAGAGTCCTCCTTACAAAACATGACGTACTATGAACCATGGCATTTTTCCTGCAAAGCTTGCTTTACCTGAATTTGGTGGGTTTCTTAGCTAACCCAGGTCATCTCAGCAAGAAACTCATGTCAGCTTCTTCCCCTCTTGTGCCCAAGTCTTCCTCTTTATGCCTAAGGATCTCCTTGGCCTCTTTTAGAGCCTTGTGACAAAAGCAAGAAAATTGGTATCAATGAAGTGTGAATGGAAATGTTCATGGGTGAGGAAGCAACAGCTGCAGAAGAGCTGAAAGGATGACCTGGACTGATAATGAAGGAAGTTTACAGGCAGTAAAATTGAAAAATTCATTGTTTCTGGCAAGCCCAGGAGGCCTGCATTCTGATTAAACCACATCACAAATGACTCATTAAGGGACAAACCTGCCCTCTCACCAGAGGAGGATGACAACAAGGTTGCAGCATATCACATATATCTCTGCACTCCTGTTACCCAATAGGTGGTAGGAAAACAAGGAACTAATAAAGAACTCAAGAGATGTAATTCAAATGCTGCAAATAGATTCCTCAAATTATCGTGTTATTGCAAGAAAACTTTTCCCTCAACAGTAAATGTGATACATATTTCTGTTCTACAAACTCAAAAGCTTGTAAATCACTCTCAATCACAGTGCACACAGTGCCCTCCTCAATGTTTGAAAGAATAACTGCAGAAGGATAATAACTGAAACAATAGATCGATTTCTCAGGCATAAGTTCCAGATCATGCAGTCAGAGAATTGGTACTTTATTGCCAAGAGAAAAGACTTCATTCAACCAGAACTTTTGAAGGTAGATTTTGTACCCATCTCCCACTAATCTTAGCAGGAAAAGTTCAGTTTATTGTGTTTTTTTCTGCCCTTGAAACTGAGGAAAACAAGGAATAATGAAAATTTAATTCTGGACATTTGACTCAAGCTGAAGCTCAGCTTCATGCTCATTTCTTCCTGTCATTTGAAAAAACTTGTTAGCTCTTGCCTTAAAACCCTGGGAATCATATGAACTGTCTTTCCTGTGGTCCCACATGCACTGAGAATTGAATGAGAGGATCAAGGAAAAAGGTGGGCTGAGGCAGCAACAAGCATGTTGAGAAGTGGCAGGTAAACTTCTTTTTAGTACTAAGAATGTTCCTTACTACTGGGACATCTCTCCTATAGGTCGTTGCGTAGTCAAACTGTGTTAAATCATGAGTGGTCTTTGTCAGCTCCAACTGCAGAGACAGTCGGTTTAGCTCAAAACTCTATGGTTTTGACTAATTTTTATCATAAAGTTTTTAATCTAGGCTAACTCATTTGGCTTTGCCCCAGGTGAATGGAGGAGAAAGACACTTGTAGAGTTGAATTCTGTTCTCAGCTGGCTCTAGTGCTGTTATTTCCTGTTTTACCACCAAGATTGAAGCTTGATTAGATTAAGAATATAGAGACACAGCTTTGTTATATGATTGCTGTCTGGACATCCACTGGAAACAAATTCAAGCAAATTAAATGGTGCAAAGCTAGATTACAAATAGATTTCATGAGTCTTTAAAAGATATAGTGGCAGTAGGCCACTAGTTCCTTATTGATACAGTAGTGTTCCTTACTTGTAAGGTACAATGGAGGTATCTGTGTATGTTGTATCCTATATAGGTGTACATTTACAGGAAGACAGAAGTATTTAGTTTTTCAGCTGGTGAGCATCACTTCTTCCAGAAACACGTTTTGTGAGGAGATAGAATTTTAGCTTGCTTTTCTTAGGCGAAGTTAACTTAATAGGCCAGTGTTTTAATTTTTTTTTTAAATAAATAATAAGTAAATTAAATGTTACAGTAACCTGTGCTTAAAGTAATGTAAAAAAACCACTGTACATTTATTTGATTGACTAGAGTTTGGCATTGTTAACTGCTACATAAATGTGCATAAATAATGAATAAAAGGAAAGACTGTGAGCTTTAAGGAAGGTGTATACTTACATGTTGATTTGAAAGAAGATAGAGGGAGGTTGAAAGATACTCTTGTTTGCAAGGATTACTTTGAAGAAGGCAGAAAGAAAGCAGAAGGGGAGGCATTCTGCCATGTAGTGCAGACGTGACAAGAAACGAGAACAAAAATACTTGAAGAGTCAGATCTATGAAAAGCGCTGGGTGTACTGATGAGAGTGAAAGGAAAAGCCATACATGATAGGTAATTGATAGAGCACAAAAGGAAGATAAATACAGAATGACCTGTGGATGAGAGAGATGTATTTTAAATATACTGTGCTGTGAGCTGAAAATCAGACAGGCAAGTGAGCAGGAGATTGCATTTACTAAGGTGACTAATGACTAGCTCATCACCAAAGACAGTTGTGAGAACAGAGAGGAAGAATTTTGTGCTCTAGATGTTATCAGTACTGCTAATCAAAAAGAACAGAAATGATGAGCAAGACCGTAACATACAGACTCTGGTACTCTGAAATACTTAGTTTCAAAGGAATTGGATTTGATCCCTGCCTGTGCCAGAATTCCTGTGTGATACTGGATTAATCACTTATGCCCTCCCCAGACTGGGCGATTTAGCCAAGCTGCCTAACCTTCAAGACCCTCTTAGACTCTTGATTTGGTGGTTACTCAAACAACTATAGATTAAGACATGGGGAGCCATGCTTTGTATGCTATGATAAGTGGAATGGTGAAAAATTGAACCCTTAAAAATTATCAGACATATATGACTAATTTTTCTAAGTCAGATTCAGCTCATAGGTATCTGTGAGGTAGATGAGTGTCTATTTGTGGGCATTGGCTGTAATGGGAGCTTGCACCAAAGAAGACTGAGTATGACTAAGGGAATTTAGAGTCGCTCATCTGACTAAATGCTGACTAATTTGGGATCAGTTGAATTGCTTGCTTGACTATCCTGACAAGGTCTCAACTTAATTGTAACAGCAGTTACAGAATGTGGCTTATATGCAGGCATTGTCTATACCTTGGGCTTGAA